TGTCCTTAAATACTTCAGTTACAGATTTTCTCATATATTAGTATTCCTAACAGTGGGAGTTGCCTATTGGTCAGCCTGGAAAACAGACTAAATGCAAGCACACCTTTTGAATGCCTGAATTCTCAGAAAGCCAAGTACTTGCTATTTGGCTGTGCCTCAGAGGCATAAGGAAGTATAACTCTTCTTGCCCTTTTGTTTTCCTGCTGGAAGGAAGTCAAATCCCCAGGCTAGTACACTGTGCTGCTACAGGGACACTGGTAGCACAGGGAACTGTCAAAAATGGAAAACCTTGAAACTCTGAATGGGGCTCCCAACTGGTTGCATGTTTTCATGCAGCGTGTTTTCTTTTACTTCATATTGCCTTTTAATGTAGCAGAAAGGAATAAAGTAAATTATTTCAAAAGAGTATTGTAATTTTTTTGCCTTTTTTTTTTTTTCTGTATTGTCTTGATGATCTGAGGTAAGTAGCTGGTACCAGCACCACAGGAACCCACCCATATAATCCCTCGAGGTTAGGGTGGTGTTTGACAAAAATCAGTGTATATATAAATAAAATGCAGTGCAGTCTCACAAAGCTGAAGCCTGTCAGCATCAGTCTAGAACAAATCCTTATATATTATAATGTCATAATTTAAGTACCACCATCAATTGTATAGGAAAGTAGGGCAGAGAACAGAGTCCCCAAAGTATTTTTCTCGCAGAGTAGGTTCTTTTTACACTCCAAGCTTTTTAAACTTACTCTTATTTCTAAACAGACTAAGGTGTTAGAGCTCAGGTAGGCCCTTTCTGGGGCCTAGCAGTCTTGTCTTGGTATCTTTTTGCATATTTTTGTGTTGCTTTTTTATTGCATTGATTGTGCTGCTGTGTTTGATGGTAGAAGCCATGTCTGGAAATGCTGGTGCTAACGCAGAGTTCAAGAAACGCTTTCACTACTTGGAGTGCAGCTGTATACTTGCAAATCCAGCCTGTCTGGGTGCCTGGAATAAACATGCAGAGAGGGGAAATGATACTATGATGTTGAGAAAGTCGGGGTGAGTTTTGTTTTATTCACTGTTCAGGGCAAGCACAGAATTGCAGGACTCTATACTAGGGAAAGGTAATGAGGCAAAGAGCAAAATGAGAAACCTTGCAATAGCAGGAGAAGAGTGTCAATAATTGTTAGGAAGTGGAGGAGTGGGAAGAAGCAATAACCCTTTTGACTTAGGCACACAAGAAATCAGCAGCCTGGGAACACCAGCTGTTGCCTTCCCTGGAAAGAAAAAGGATATATATTTTTGCACTGCCTTGAAGTATGCCAGGGACAGCACCAAGGCTAGTGATGAATAACTGAATGACTGGGGCTCTGGAGGGGAAGGGAAGTCACAGCTTCATTCCAGCCATACCTGCAGACTCTGTAGCCAGGCGGTTCCTCTCTTCCCCAGTTTCTGGGGCAAGTTCAACTGCCTTGTACTAAAAGGGTGTTGTAAAGACAGTATTGCAAAGAAAAGGTGCAGTTCAGTTCCCTGATGAATAGATAGCCCCTAGATCCCACTGCTATCCTTAGGGGTTTGTGTGGTGATAGGATGCACTGGTGTAGTCCTCTCTACTGAGGTCCTTCTGCAGGGCTGGGAGTAGAAGGTGAGAGTTTACCTGTGGTTTTGAACACTGGGCTGGATCTTCCTAGGCCGATCTTGCTTTGCTGAATTACTGGACAAAAGGCAGACAGCACCCTGTCCACGTGGATCCAGTGTTGGGGAATACACTATTTCTCTGGGGAAACTATTCCAGTGGCTGATCTCATTGTGAAAAATTTTACTCCTGTGTCCAATAGGAATGTCCCCAGAAGTACCTTGTACCCATTGCCTCTCATCTTTTCCATGCGAATGTTTGTAAAAAAGGAGTCTCCATCTTCTTTGTAGACACACTTTAAGTACTGGAACATGAGGATAAGGTCTACCCTAAACCTTCTTTTCTCCAGGCTGTGCAAACCCAGCTCTCAGCATTTCCTCCATGGCAGGCTTCTCAGTCCTTTGATCATCTTTGTGGCCCTTCTCTGAACCCTTTCCAGTCTACCCACATCCTTTTTTTTTTTCCATCGGGGACCAAAACATTGCACAATATTCCAGGTGTGGCCTGACAACCAGAGTGGGATGATGATTTCTTTAATCTCTACTGGTGATGCATTTTTGATGGAACCCAGCATCCTCTGGGCTTTCTTTGCCACAACAGCACACTGTTTACTCCTTATTGTCCACCAGGAGCACCAGGTCCCCTTTTCATAGAGCTGCTCCCCAGCTGGGTAAATCCCAGCCTGTGCTGCACTCCTGGATTATGTTTTCTTCAGTGCAAGACCTTAAGCCATGAGCTGTTTTCTTCTTCTCCATGTACATTTCTAAATGGGCTCATCTCCATATAATTTGTTAAGTTTCCAGAGCTGCTGTAATTTTCCACCTGGTGTAGATCATGAAAAATCAGCATTTAAGCATTTCCTGTTCAGAAAGTGGTGTTAATTTATAAAGTCAGAAAGTAAATTTTGGCTTCATTAAGCATTTTAAAATGAGGATCCATTGCCTTGATTTGCTTCTGACAAGGGCTGAGAATTGTTCCAACTTTCTTCTTATTGCAATGTTTAACAGAGATGTATGCATTGGTTGCTATTAGTTAATTATTTTCTTTTAGAGTAAGATAGATTTATTAATGTATCTGACTAAAAGGGGCAACCTCTGACACAGGTTGGCCAGTACTTGTGGAGTAAGTATTTTAAATGAAGAAAAAAGCCCAAAGGATTTGAAGATGATCCTTTTGCCTTCTGATGTGGTTCTGCAGTAGTTCTCACATCTCTCCCTGGTATTTGGCAGCACTGGTATGAACAACAATGTGCCAATTTGTGAGGAGACCTTTTACAAAAACTAGGATCAGAGGTCTAATAGCCAGCCATTTCAACACGGTGTTATTGTTCTTACTGTACTTGAAGATGAATAATTGCATAATAAAATATGTTAGCACTGAGAGACTGAAACTGTAGTCATGGGAAATGTGTACACTGTTTTTCTTAGATAATGCCACTATGGTTCTCTGAAATAGTCTCTAGAGCTTCAGTTTGATTAGGTTTATGTTTTCACATGTGCTTTTTACTTCTAAGAACACTGCAAATTAACAACCCTGGCGTTTATTATCGTTACCAGAATTTATTTTTTTTCCCTGTCCTTTTAAAACAGAGATTGTTGCAAATCCTGTGAAGACCTCCATAATAATGCAGGTCAAACATCTCCATTGCAATTACTCACACGATGCAAATTACCCCTATGGTGAGTTAAATATGTACTGTGTTTAGTTGTCAGTCTTACAGTTGTTACAGCTCTCCAACACTGCTACTCGAGACAGGAGAAGTGTCTGACATCAGTAGCAATGTAGTATTAATTTACCATTTAGTACCACTGTAGTACTTATTAGTACTTTCCTCGATATTTGTTAGTACTTTCCTTGAGTAAATATGTGTGAGAGACAGATCTGTGGGTGAAGATCTGCCATTAGCTGACATGGCTTGTTGGCTAATACTGCAGGACAGCATGGACACATTTCCACTGTGGTCTCAGCATCTCCTCTTTATTCAGATCAGTGTGAACATCATATCTAACAGACTGATTACCTTCTCATGACAGGGAAGATATTCAGAACATTGAATTCTTTTTACCCTACCTTTGTTCCATGAAAGTGAGAAGTGGGAAATGTGTCAAGAAAAGAACAAGTTGACACCAAGTTTTTAAAATAAAATCAAGTAACAGAATTTTCTTGAGATTTTGACAAATCTGCCAGCCTTGCATAAAACTGTCAGTTTCTTGCAGAGTCTTCTCCAGCAATGATACTAGATGAATAGAATAAGAATAAATCACAGAGCCTTAGCAATCCAACCAGGGCTTAGTCAGCAATGAATTTAGATTGTTGCTTTAGCAATCAAGATTTGGCTGTCAAAATCCCTTTCTCTCCTTTGTCAAAGCTTATGAGTGTTCAACTGACTGAATATAGCTTAAACTAGTCATCGACCATTCTCCCTGAAAAGTCGTGCTCCAACACCTTGACACACTGAATGCTGAGTAGCTCTGTTATCTTGGAAAACAAAATATGTAGAAAAATAAGCTTTAAAAATCAGTCAATTCTTTTACCTTTGCTGCGAAAAAGTTTGGCATGGTGTAAAGCATCTGACTTAGTTATGTTCCACATCAGCAGCAAGCTGTTTGCTCCCACGTTAGAAGAGCTGGGGAGAATTAGCTCACTTTGTCACAGATGAGGTCAGACCAGCTGATTGTCAGTGGGCCAAGTACAGGTCAGAGCAGCCTACTGATAGCACCTGTCTTAATGTTGGCAGAAACTTGTGGCTTTGCAGAGCCCTATTTTGAGAAATAACTTTGATTGCCTCTCTTGTTACTTAGAAATGCAACAGCAACCCATAACTAGCAGGCGTGGTCACTGGTGTCTGACAAAGCACTTTGTGACAAGAAGCAACAAGAGGATCCAACAGCACAGGCAGCACAAATTCAATGCTTATCAATGGTTTCCTGCAGAACAGAAACTAAGGTTCAACCCAGGAAAATTTAGAGACCTTACCAGGTGATGTAGGTGCCACAACAACTCCACTGGCAGCAAAGCTCTTGAGCTTCAGCTGGACTTTGGAAGGGATGTCCTAAAACCCCTTCCCTCCACACCTGCTCCAGCACGCAGCAGCAGAGCAGTGCTGCCTGACTTCCCTCCAGCAGCACTGCTGAGCAGACCAGCAGGCAGAATGGGAAATCAGCCACAGTCAGTGGCCCTGAGAGATCATCACCAGAGACTCCCAAGGAGGACAAGGCCATTGAATTCTGAAGAGAAACACACCATTGACTGCCAAGGCAGAGCAGGTAGCACAACGGGTATTGTTGTGCGAGAGACATGATTTCACCTCACAGAAGGCGAGTTAGTGACCTGGGGATGGCAGCCCAGCTCTTCTCAGGGGTGGCCAGTTGGGCAGCCAAAACTGAAACTAACAGCTGGATAGTGCAGTGTGCCCTGAAATGCTCTGAAGACAGTAAGTACCCTCGTAGTGCTAATATAGTAATCACTTTTTCTACCGGGTACGTTCCTAAGTGAAGAAGTAATAATGGATATGAACAATTCGAGATGGTAACAGGCAGGAGTCTCACAGCATGTTAACGTCTTGGAAGTCACAAGTTACAAAAGAATCGCTAGTTTAAGATCTAAAGCATAACTTGCAGAGCCAAGTGCACTATAAAAATACAAGCATGAAGGTATTCTGATGAAGTTAAGGAAATTTTGCATATGCTTATGCACGTATAACAGCACACTGCACAGTATGGCAAAAAGGATTAAATGCTTTGGGGGACGCTGGGTTACATTATCATATTTTTGCAACAATTCATCTTTTATGAGTTCTCGATACCTCAGAGAATTGATTCCACCTCTCCCCCTTGCCTTCTGCCACTTCCTTCCTATGTGTTTTTGTGCACTGCTCCATGAAAAAATGCTGCTTAAGAATTGGCCATATTTGTACTGCAAAGTTGTATCCTCACAACTTTACAGTCAGCACTGATAGGGCCTGCAACAAGGTGAGAATTCCTGAACTTGGGTGATGACAATGTGACTTTACTGACCGGGGCAAAGCTGTGAGGCACATCTGGAAAGGTACTGGACAGCTAGTATTTCAAGTAGGTGCCTGGTGTCTTTGAATCTAAGCTTAGAACAGTTTCCAGTGTACAAATATATGTGTTTTTCTTAGAAAGCAATAAATAGAATTGTACTTTACAATGGGGTTCTTGGCTGTGAGCCAAATCAAAGAAGCAGAGACAGGCAGTGAGGTGTATTGTATTTAGTCACACCCTCCTGCACTGACATCAGAGTTTACCCAGCTTCATATAATTTCTGCTTGATGCAGCAAACTATTTTTCATACTGTTATGGTAAGTCACCCCTGAAGTTCAATCCTAAATCCAAATAGTTAATTATATGAAAAGGCCTATTAACTTGAGTAAGAGGACTACTTGTGCACAGAAACCTGCACAGAACGGGGCCAGGTGCTAAAAAAGGGAAGCTGATCATGTTGTTTTGAAGGACCATGACTATAAAAGGTCTCCATATAGGTTTAAATTAATTCTCCTCGGGAAGCAAACTAGGAGTTTCAATTTCTGTGTTAGTGATAAGTCCCTCTCCTTTATAGTCCATCATTTATATTCATTGGCTGTAACAGACTGGAATATGTCCAGTTTTCCTTCTGTACAGAGTACAATTCTATTTTATCATTGTGAAAGGATTCCTGTTTTCAGTGAAATCCTCTGTCACTTCCTTTATTCACCAGCATGAGGTTGCTTATTCACAAGGGTTGTAAGTTTTAATGAACATTACTTTTTGTTCTGTCTCAGCCCGTCAGAAAAGTTTAGTAAACCTTGTACCTTGTGACAAATGCATTTAGCAGCTGGATGGAGCATATGTGCAGTGTGCTCTCTTTGGAGAAGCTGTCTCTGTGAATTACTGAGGTGCAGAACAAAAACATCTGGCATTCCCTTGTGAGGAAAGGTAGGCATGGATTCCTTATTGCCGGTCAGTCCTAGCAGGGATGTGTTGGGTCTGGCTGAGTTGGAGTTCATTTCCCCACAGTAGCCCTCACAGTGCTGTGCTTTGCATTGCCATCTAGAAGGGTGTTGATAACACACTGGTGTTTTGGCTACTGCTGAGCAGGGCTGGCACAGCATCAGCACTGTAACATCCCTTCCTCACTCGGGGGCAAGATCCTGGGAGGGCACACAAGTAGGCCAGCTGATCCCAACTGACCAAAGGATATTCCATACCTTATGACATCAGCTCAGATATGAAAGCTAAGGCAAGGAGCAGGAAGAGGGGTATTCACTCTCTCCAGTGGCTGCCTGCTGAGGAAGCATGATGTGTGCTGAAACCCTGCTTCTCAGGAGTAACTGACCGTTGCTGCTAATGGGAAGTAGAGAATAAACCATGTTATCTTTCACTTTACTTTGCTTCTACTTTAATAAACTACCTTATCCCAACCCATTTTCCATCTTGCTCTCTGCTCTGTCCAGCTGGGAAGGGGAGTGATAGAGCGGATGAGTGGGCATCTGGTGTCCAGCCAAGATCAACACACCCCAAGGGCTCAACATTTAGCTTCATCAGAAGAAGGAGTTGGGGAAGAACAGCATGAATCATGTCTTCACCCTGTGTACAGAGATACAGGATGAGGAGGCAACAGTCCTCTCACTCCCATTCTGTGTGTTCACTGCCTGGACACACCATTGTCTTCCCTGTGGCATGGCATCATTCCAGGTTTGCACTCTCCTTCTCTGGTACAAAAGAGCTACAGTGCACTCACCAGGACCTTCTTTGCACCTAGGAAGTGCAAAGGGTAGGCTCTTTGAACATGTGCCTGTGGACCAGACACAACACAAGCATAAACTCATGCTCAAACAACTACCTGAAAAGAGGTTGTAGCTCCCAGGCTTGGCTAGGAGTTTAATATATAGATACAGGGTTCTTTAATGCCTCAAGGTAGAGTCAAGAGAATAAGCCACGGGCTTGTTCCCAAGGAATTTCTTTATGAATTTATGGGAAGAAAAAAAGGGAACTTGGCCAAAGTTCAAAAGCACACCGCACAAGCTAGACAAAAATGTTCCACCACAGTACTGTTAATCCACAACACTTAAATCAAGATCAAATAAATCCCCAACACTTAAGACAGCAAAGTTCAAGAGGTATAGACAAGAAGGAGTGAAAGGACTAACCAATTTCACTTAACACCTAGGAGCAGATACCCTAGAGTCCTAGAGACATGTCCTACCTGTCAAAACAGTCTGCCTTTTATAACATAGAATTTGTTTGAATATTTGAAGCTATTCAGAATAACAATAAAAAGCAATCAGAAGAGGGGTAAAATGTTGTGCTTTAGGATAATTATCATGATGTTAATGGTACCTTAATGACTATTTGTTTTTTAGACAAATTATCTCAAAAGTGTTAAGTCTTATATTAAAGCCTAGAGGTACAATATAATTCTTGAAGATACATATAAAAATTATTTTTTTTCTTTTCCAGGTAGTTTTCCCCCTGATACAACACGGAATTTCTAAAAATAATCATAATAAACAGAACCAACTGCTTTAAATGCTAAGCAGTTCTCTAAATTTAGGGTATTGTAGTCAGTGTGTATGTGTGCTCTTTTTCTTCTAAATGATGGCACAGTATAGAAGAATAAGGCAGCATCTGTTAAAAGAGTGTTCATATTTTCTGATGCTGGATTTTTAAGAAACCACCAGAAAACAGCAAGAGCAGCCAGATGTATGGATGTCAAGTGGTTTGAAATAGTTGAGTGCCTGTTGTAAGGACAGTTCTGTTGTACCTGTCATTGTCCACAGGATTTTTCAATTCTTTTGTTTCTCTATAAGATTAAAGGTGCTATGAGACATGAAATATTTCTGTAGAATATGGGATCTGGGTGAAGCAAATTTGTGGATTCTTATGAACTGGCACTAGAAAAGGCAGTTAAGAGATACAGCTGTCCTGGGCTTATCCTGTGTTTTCATAATGGGTGGTTACATGTCCTCTCTTCCTCTCAGTGACAGATAACTAACTACACATAAATTATACAGACCTCTAAAATAAATCTCCCAAAACTATCTACTTTATTTCAAATATTTCAAGATTACTCAGGACTCTAAACAAGACTGAAAGGAATTCCTCCATCAGCGTCTTCCATTTTGGGAACTTTGGTCCAAATATAGTGCATCGCATTAGTAATTAATATTGCTTAATTGGCATTATACATATCCATAACTCAGGTCATCATAAATACTGTATTTCCAAACAAGGACATAATTTCACCTGAAGGTTTTGTTTACATTCCCTCCTTGGGGTTTTTTGGGGTTTCATAAATGAGGAACTGAGTGATGCTTTTCCTGTGGTGGGATCATTTGCCTCTCCCACACTGAGCCTCAGATAATCTGGTTGGATTAAAGCTGCAGTGCTCAGTGCTGCAGTGTACTGACTTTCTAGTGACAATGAATCAGTCCTACCTGTAGGTACTGCACCTTAAGGCAAGTGTTCACAGAACTGCCTTTTTAAATAATTCTCCCTATATTTCTTGAAGGCTAGTATGCTAGGAAAATGTATATATTCTGTCTGGTTACAATGCTTTTTTTTGCAAGCAACACTTTTCAGCTGATTTGGTGTTCCCATATTGCAGATTTTATCACAGAAAAGAAGTGCAGGTTTTGAAACCTGGCGTGTTGAATTAGTCATTGGTTCATTTTGCCATGCTGTAAGAAGTACAAGCAGAGTCATTAACAGCTGTTCTCCTGAAGTGTTCTATGCTAAAAGATGATTAGTGCACATTCAACATTTTGAGTCTTGCCATCGTATGCAATTATAGAAATGATAGTGGACAAGTTTCAAGAACAACAGTGATGTAGTGCAAGAGTTCTGGTCCATCATAATAATAGGTTCAGCCACAACAATCCCATGCAGAACTACAGGCTGGGGGAAGAGTGGCTGGAAAGCTACCCAGAGGAAAAGGACCTGGGGGTGCTGGTTGACAGCAGGCTGAACATGAGCCAGCAGTGTGCCCAGGTGAAAAGGCCAATGGCATCCTAGTCTGTATCAAAAATAGTGTGGCCAGTAGGAGCAAGCAGTGGTCTGTACCGAGCACCTCAAGCCCTGTGTTCAGTTCTGGACCCTTCACTGCAAGAAAGACATTGAGGTGCTGGAGCATGTCCAAAGAAGGACAACAGAACTGGGGAAGGTTCTAGAGAATAAATCCTATCAGGAGCAGCTGAATGAGCACAGGGTGTTCAACCTGAAGGAAAGGAGGCTTCTGGGAGACCTTATCACTCCCTGCAGCTCCCTGAAAGGAGGTTCTAGCCAGGTGGGGGTTGACTTCTTCACCTGGGCAACCAGTGACAGGACAAGAGCAGCCTCACGCTGCTCCAGGTGAGGTTCAGGTTGGAGATCAGGAAGAATTTCTTCCTGGAAAGCATTGTCAAACATTGGAACAGACTGCCCAGGGAGGTGGTGGAGTCACCATCCCTGGTGGCATTCCAAGAAACAACTGTGTGTGGCACTTAGTGCTATGATCTGTTTGACAAGGTGGTGATTAGTCAAAGGTTGGACTGTGTGATATTGAAGGTCTTTTCCAACTTAAATGATTCTGTGATTCTGTGATAATTAGTCTGTCCTACCCAATCTAGGGTTTTATATTTTTGAAAAGTACATTTTATTAATCTGATAAAAATAAGCAAAATGGTAAATATGGAATGGACTAGTAACAACAGCAGTAGAAAGAACAAAAACAATATTGCCCTAAGAATGAATGTAATTCTGAAAACACCACTTCTGAATCTCTCTAGTGCTGTCTGAAAGATAGACAAAATTTAAGCACTTAAGAGACCTATAGAAAATGGAAGAAAAGCAGAGCTGATACTGATCAGTGTCAACAGCAGAGCTTTGAAAACTCATCAGACCTAATCTGGCATTGGTATGAGAAGGAATGGGATAGCAAGCAGTGAAACATACTCATGAGGTTTTGTGAGCAGTACCAAAGCTCTCAAACCTGTCCTGAATTAAAAAGCTCTACCTCAAAAACATCATCTGGTCTTAAAAATCTGAATATTTTAGTGAACAGGGCTGCTAAAAAACCTGCCTAAACATCCTTCAAATGCATACATCATATATTCGGACTATGCTGTCATCGAATAATAAAACTGATTAAAACATGTGACAGTGAAAATCAGCAATCACATCTAAGGGAACAAATGGTTGCACAATAGGTGAGGGTAGCCATCCTAGATTGTTATCACAAGTGTCTGTGAACCCTACAAATAAACATATTTGTATTTTTCCACTAATGTAGGGTTGGACAGTTTTTATTTGACACCAGGTCTCTGTGAGGGAACATCATAGTGATGAGTGCATCACTATGTTCCTCTTTCAGTTTAAACCATCAAATAATCCAAATTACCCTCCCTTTTGTAGACAACCCTTGCAAAAGTGAGGTTGACACATTGTATTCAGCAGGTCTTATGATCCATCACTTTAGTTTAGAGCTGGGGTTAGATGAGAGGCTTTCCAGACTGCACATGCTAAGTAATGGTTTGGCTTACGGTAAGAGTGCAAAAAAAGCACTAGCTATTTATGTAAACATTTCTGTTGCAATGCTCAATTTGCACTCCTCCAAAGTGGATTAAGTTGAACAGCTCAAAGGCATTTTTCGGTGAAATTAGATAACACATAAAAACAATTAGTGAAGAATAACGATGGCACATTAAATTCACACCTCAGCTTATTTGACAATAAATTCCCTGTGTTGACAGGTCCTGAGAGGACAGATCTCATAAATGGATTGTACACATAAAGTGTGGTGTGATTGCAGTAGAAAGGCAGCCAAACAGCCTTGAATGCTCAGTGGAAGCACAAAGGGTTATGCTAGATAGCAGCAGAGCTTTTTTTGGCTAATTAAACAAAGAAGGAAGGGAAGTATAAGACAGGGGCAGTGTTGAAATAGCAATATCATCTGGAAAGCTGCTTTACAGAGCATTGACTGATGTCACCAGGATGCTAACATACAGACTCCAAGATTTAAATGTATTAAGGCATCAATTCACAGAGCCTTGCAGTATCTGATCTGTTTACAAAAGTGACCCCTTAAGGCGCTCACATTTTTTAAAAACCAAATGACCAGACCTTTGTGGTATTTTCGTTACACGTGTTAAGGAAACTCCCCAGTCTGACCATTCATGGGGCTCTGGCAAGCCACACTCCCAAGGTCAGAGATCATCACTGCTGGGACCGAAACCTCTTCCCAGGAGGTGGCTCCAGTGAGCCCACAGGTGCCCTGCTTGACTCCCTGCACACCCCACTCACACAGTCAGATCAGTTTTCCCGAACAGTTTGACCCCTAGTTTCCCATAACAGAGTCTTTGGTGTCTCGTTCCATAAAGCAATTTATTCACGGTGCAGTAAGACAGTAAAAACAGCCCAAGCTGGTGTCTCCGAGGAGGACCCCGAACGAAGACACTCCTGGGCTTTTATACCCCCACAGTCCAAGCACACAGAAGTCTCCTCAGCTCCTGCTCTCAGTGTCCATTCCCCTGGTTGGTGCCACCCGTGTTTGTGCCCTCTCTGCAAAAGCTTGGCGGTTCCTGCCCAGAGCACAGTCTGCGTCTTGAACTGCAGTTTGCAAACCGAGCTACCTGCACCAGATGTATTCCTCAACATCCACCCTGTGGGGGCAAGTACCAGAGTCATTTTCTCTCCCTGCTTCAGCTGCAGTTATAGTCACAAAGCTCAGGGTGGCTTGCCCTGCACATTCCTGAGAGTGGTGTTATGGGTTGTGCACATGTGGAGGCGGTGGCCCTGGCAAGCTGTGTGAACTGTCTTGCAAAGCACCGCTGCAGGAGAGGGCTCTCTGCAGCATCTTTCTGACTCCTGAGCTTTAGCTGTGTTCTCTCAGCAGCACTCAGGTGGTGGTCTGTGAATTCAGGTTAGCTCTTATGGGCCTCTTGTGCTTGGATTTTTGACCTCTCTTTGTCTTTACTTGTGGTTTAAAGCCATTTTAATAATTCAGTCTCAGGTTCAGTCTTAGAAGAACAATGTTTGTCATGAAGGCAATCCCCGGTATGGTGCTGCTGTGGACGATTTCCCAGTGGAGATTTTGTTTGCTGGCAGTGGTCCCTGCCACTGTGCTGCAGTTACTTGCTTTGTAGGCCCAGGTCTGTCATACCCTGAAAGTAAAGCACAAGGCTGACCAGGAAGAAATGATGTGAGAAGTGGGTGAATGCACTGCCCCTCACATCATCTGGGATGGGAGGATAGAACTCATATACCCAGAGATTTATGGTAATCTGACACTTACCTGCATCTGGACAAACAAATACTTTCTACAGCTGAAGCTATAAATTAATTTCTTTGTCAGTACTTTGACATTGCTTATTACAGCAATGCCAGAGGACTTTGCTGAATTCATAAAGTAGATGTTTAGATGGGCAAATGGGAGGTGGACTGAGGAAAGCACCTTCAGAAAAACATGCCCTCAAAGCAATGTTCTCACTCACACTCAGGCAGCACTGCTGCACACAGGCAGCG